ACTCTAGTCAGGTCCCTCGCCTTTCTTCATGATGAGATTGATAAACGAGTACCACGCTGATGGAAGGGGACAGGAAATTACACGCAGCGACTGTCAACTCTGGCCTTAAAATCAAGCACTCGTAGCTGCTAGTTTACAAATGGAGATCAGCACCCCATCATTAAGTGCATGAAAAGACGAGCCCAGAAGTGGCATCACCATGAAAGTGTACGGAACACTGATATTCCAACGGTTGCAAACTTTCATATTTTCCCTTTGTACACTCTCATCAGCTTCCTAAACACCGTCTTCTCGTCCTTGTTGCAGGAAGCAAACAACGAAAACAACAAGAGTAGGAGATTGTTCATGGCGGGGAGAAGTGCGGTGGGAATTGTTCCTCCTTAACTGCTACGGCAGCTGGAAAGATGAGGTGAACCCTGAAACCACTGAAACAGGAGGCGCTGGCGGAACAGAAAATCTTGACTAATGGTCATAATCATACAGTGGCTGGAAAGCGGCTGCAACTGTTCAACCGATCAGCAAATTCAGAGTTCTGGTACCTGCTCCCACTGTAGTAACAAGGCTGATCTACTGCGTTCTATGTCTCCTTGCTCCATGAAACAGAGAATAAAAGCACAACCGATCTGAAGAACTATTAATTCAGATCACTTTCAGATTAAGGGTTTTGACTCTTTGTTCGTCAATGGAATGGCACAAAGACATTCTTGTGATTGGTGTAACGGCTCGCCATCCATTACCAGCACATGACTACACTCGAAGCAGCAATGATGTGAAATCAAAGACTGTCACATTTATAAACAAAATCAACCGGTAAAACTTGACGGATGCGACGACATGATGGCCTTTTTCTTGGTTATTTCTGATTAAAATAACAGACTGGGAAAAGGGGCAATGCAGTTTCTTCATCACTTCCATAGCGAGTGCTTTCTGTTCTTTCGCAGAGTTTACGACGCAGTGGGATCCTCGTTTCGCATTAATTATTTTTCGAAAACAATACCTACAGCTAGGCGGTCATTACAGCGCACGGTTATATGCTTTCATCTCAAGTACTGGTACTCGTCCATTTATCGACCTGCCTACCTCACAATGATGAGTGGTGGTGAGTGGAACGAAATGTGCACACGGCTTTGACTGGAACTGGAGTCCTTTCAACCGTCACTAGAGCAATCTACTGATGAAGCTATGTTGTGCTTGGCACACTGACGAGGTACTAAAAAGTCGCTGAAACACTGTCGGCAAATGGAACAGGTTCCGCAAAGCACAACCTAACATTATTCAACAAATGAATCTGAATTAGAATTGCTCACCTTTTACCTACAACAATGCAACGGTGTTGGACGGGATACTACCCTTCTATTCGTTACGAGGTTTAGGCTTCCGGCGAAACTGCCATTAAAAGGCTGTTCGCAAATAACATCGCAGAAAAATTACAAACAGAGACTGGCAAGAAACGAAAACGTCGGAAATGTACAACAAAAATAAAAGAAAAACAGACGATGAGTTTGAACGGGGCTCGAATGCGGAGAGGCAAGGTTTGAGAACTACAGAAGAGATTAACCAGAGTAAAGACAATTAACATTAAAGACTCACGGGCAAAACAAAACTTCCGCTTAACATAAGCAATCACTGATAATAAACATGAAGGCGAGGCGTTAAATTACCAGCTCCAAATGAGTAAGATAACTTCGACAGGCATGCGTCATTTCCTGAACACCCTTGTGCTGCAAAAGGCAAGAAGTAACGTCACCGTTGTCTATGCCTTTCTGGGCGTGCTCCTGAAGACACAATGTTTTTCAGAAATACACAGCAAGTAAAAGTAAAAAATATCAGTGCTACTCGACAATAGGTGCTGATCACCGGGGCACACCCTTTGACAAGCGCCTGGTTGATTCGAAAATCTCGCGACTCCATCTCCGTATATCGTATTACCGCATCACGGCAGGCAGGCGACAACGTCAGTTGATTTGACTGAAGACACATGAACTCCTAAAAAAGAGAAAACATAAGCAAGAATAAACTTTTGACGTCCGCTATCGAACGGTATTTTTAAATAGCGTTTATAAAAATAACTGTTTAACAGCGGACAAATGCATAATCACAAGAAACAATCGACTACCAAAAAATTCGGTATTTTGCCGCCACAAATCAAAGGCCTGCATACCTCTCCGGCTCCAGTTCGAGCTGAACATTTTTGTGCCAGATCGTTGAAACACACATCCATGATCTCCGGCAGGAGGTTGACGCTTACAGCTCGTTCTCGTAGCACTCTGCGAACTTCTTCCACGCACCGTGGAGTCAACTGAAAACCACAAAAGAGTATTCGTGAGACCGTGGCACTAAATCGATGAATGAAATTATGACAACTACAAAGTCCATGAACAGTAACATTTTCAGCTACGAAGATTTATGTCCAAAACCTTTACTGAAATCTTTCAACATCATGATCAAACAACAGCGGAAAACACCGCTGGCTTATAGCACTAAAGCTATATAAAACGATTGCGTGTGTGATGTATAACCTATATACAATACTATACAATGAATAAGAGACGCTATGTGTTAACTGAATGTTAAAAAGAAAATTCAACAGGGTTAACTCACCTTTGACGCTTCTGAGTCATCGTAGGCGTGACGGTAAAGGCAACTGAGAACCAAATGGCCCGGTTCAGGGCCTGTGTTACCTGCGGTTGACAGATCGGCCCACTCTTTTTTCGCGTGGCACTTGTCGACGGCATCCAAGTGGCAGGCCGCGTACAACTGCGCATCGAGGCTGCAAAACAAGGCGTTGAAAGAAACACAAAGCCAAACGCGCAAGTAACAACTTACCTGAAACTTCTTGACAAAAAAAACTGAATTTCGAACAACCGATCCTTGCAAGCCGGTGACATTTCCGGAGAATATCCATTTTTCATCAAGCAGGACAACATCCTAAAACGCTTAATCTTTACAGATCACTAATTTATTCAGC